GTATCACTACAGAAGTAGGATTGCCCAACCTTCCTTCTGAGGAGTGGCTGGTGGGTTTGAACCGCCAGCCTTCTGGTTATCAGTCAAGTGTCTTAGGCACTATGCTACCAGAGCTCCTGAGAGTTGGAATAGGTGACTTTAAGTCCTCTGACCCATCAACAAAAGAGTTACTGAACTTCAAATGTGAGGCACTGGAAAAGGTGGCAGCCAACAGAGATAGATGAAACAAAACCCTCAAAATCTGCTTACTCTCAGAGCAGGCTGCGAACATATGCATAAATAAAATAAGGTTTATAATAGCTACCACCACTCATCTGCCATTTTGTTGTACTGTGGTGGCAAGCATGTTGCATGCTGGAAGCTATGACACTGGAATTTCAAACACCAGCAGGTGGGTAGGTTTCAGCAAAGCTTTCAGACTAAGACAGAGTGGAAAGGAGGACACAGGCCACCCACTTCTGAAAAACTGATCACTGGAAACTTTACAAACAGCAGTGAAACACCAAAGAAAGGTGATCCAACAGTATGCAGAAATTATCTAACCATATCATTAATATCACATAAAAGTAAAATTTCGCTGAGAATAATTTTTAAAGAAATAAAGAAATAAAGTTACAGCAATATATTAACAGGGAACAGCCAGAAATTCAAGCTGGATTCAAAAGAGGGCATAGAATGAGGGCTATATCTCATTGCTGATGTCAGATGGATCTTGGCTGAAAGCAAACAATACCAGAAAGATGTTTACCTGTGTTTTACTGACTGTGGTAGTTCAGTTTGTGTGTCAACTTGGCTGGGCCTGGTTGAGTGACTGGGCAGCTGGATGTAGTATTCCCCATGACGACTGGTAATCAATTCCATGGTGGAATCTACTGTAAGCGGCTGAGTAGCTGCCTTAGGGAATGTGGTCAGCTTCCAGTATGTAAGCAGAAGCCTTGGCGAGTCTCTAGCTTATGGCACGCTTGGACCCTGCATGTAGCTGCGTTGTTGTTCAGCAGGCTGCCATGCTCTACCGACCTTGGCACTTACAATGGACTTGAATTAATGGCCTGTCGTGTGGTTTGGTAACATCAAGACTGTGCCATTTTTTTGTCAACCTTGGGCTTGTTAGCCTCAGCAGCCAGTAGCTGCCTGAGTCAAGACACGCCTGTAGCTTCAATGGGCCAGGAGCAAGAGGCAGAGCTGAAGCCCAAGGTCAAGGAGATTTCACACAGCCCCTAGAGCTTGGCACTTTGAACTTGGACTTAAAGCCTCCAAACTATGAGAAAATAAACTCTTGTTTGTTGAGGTCATCCCATTTGTGGTACACTCTTGTCAGAGCGGTACTAGGTAACCAGAACACTGATTTTGCAAAGGCATTTGACTATGTAGATCACAACAAATTATGGATAACACTGCGAAGAATGAGAATTCCAGAATTCTTAATTTTGCTCATGAGGAACTTGTACACCAAGCAAGAGGCTATCACTTGAATAGAACAAGGGGCGATTTCGTGGTTTAAAATCAGAAACAGTGTTCAATTTACCTCAAGTAGATACACTCCTTGGAGAGAACAATCATGGGAGAAAGAAGGGCTGCTTATGCACAGGAAGACTACTCAGGGGGCAGGAGTGAATGGAGGGATGGACACTGGAAAGAGGTAACTATGGGGAGGAAGGGGGAGGGGAGCTGTTGCATTGTGGTAAACTGTGGTCAATGTTATGAGACAAAGTGTATGTGAACTGCTGTATGGAAAGCGAATTTGCTCTGTAAATCTTCACCCAAATCACAATTTAAATAAAACAAAAAACAAAAAACAGTGTTCATCAGGGTTTAATCTTTTAACTATACTAACTCTATCCGTATGGTGAGCCAACAATTGGAAAAGCTGGACTATATGAAGAATGCATCAGGACTGGAGGAAGACCTTAACAACTGCAATATGCAGATGACACAACCTTGCTTGCTGAGAGTGAAGAAGCAAAGTAAGAGCACTTCAGCACTTACTGATGAAGATCAAAGGCTGCAGTCTTCATTATGGATTACACTTCAACATAAAAGAAACAGAAATCCTCACAACTGGACCAGTAAACAAAATCACATTAAACAGATGAAAGATTGAAGTTGTCAGGATTTCATTTTACTTGGATCCACAATCAATGCCCGCGAAAGCAGCAGTTAAGAAATCAGATGACATACAGCACTGGGCAAATCTGCTGCAAAAGACCTCTTTAAAGTGCTGAAGAGCAAAGATGTCTCTTCGAAGACTAAGGTGTGCCTAACCTAAGCCATGGTGTTCTCCATAGCCTCGTATGCATGTGAGAGCTGGACAATGAATAAGGGAGTCAGGAGGACTGACGCATCCGCACTGTAGTGTTGGCAAAGAAAACTGAAAATAGCATAGACTGCTAGAAGAACAAACCAATCTGCCATGGAAGAAGTATAGCCAGAATGCTCCTTAGGAATAGCCAGACTTCTCAAGTACTTTTGTCATGCTGTCAGAAGGGACCAGTCCCCTAGTGGGTATCACGTGTGGTAAACTAGAGGGTCAGCAAAAAAGGGGAGGACCCTCAACAGATGGACTGACACAGGAGCTGCAATGACAGGCCCAAGCAACACTTGTGTGGATGGCGCAGGACTGAGTAGTGTTTTGTTTTGTTGTACCCAGGGTCTCTGAGACATATCTGACTCGATGGACCTAACAACAACAACAGCTAAGACAAAAATGAAAAGAGGATACAATGTGGATAAGAAGGAGAGCATGATTCTTCCTTGAGTGTCAAATATTTAAATCAATCAAAAGCGTGAAGTTTGAAATGAGTTTAGGAGACTAATAATTTTTCAACAACAAAAAACAACAAAAGCATTTAGGGAGGCATCAGCTTAGAAAAAGACGAAAACACTCCTAGGGATGAGGAGGTGAAGAAAGTTTAGCAGTGTGATTGCTAAGGTTGTGTGTCAATTTGGCTTGACCATGATTGTCAGTGGTTTGGCAGTTACGATGCAGTCATCCCACATGATGAGATCTGATGTAATCACCTCCATGGTTAGATGTGCTATGAGCAGCCAATCAGCTGAAAGGGCATTTCCTCAGCAGGGAGGCCTGCTTCCAATATACGTATGGACATGCTGGAAAAATCCTCTGGCTTTCTGCTGAATCCTGATTCAGCATCTGGCTCATCATGACAATGGTTCCTGTTCACAATAGGAATGGTTTCAGTCTCTCTCCATTGAGAATAACGTTGGCTGTTGTCTTGTTGATTCCTTATTTTTCTGTTTCATTTATTTCTGATGGAATCTTTATTATTTCTTTTCTTCTAGTGACTATTGGTGTTTTTTATACTCTTTTTCCAATTGTTGGAGATGCTGGGTTAAGGTGTTGATTTTGGCTCTTTCTTCTTTTTTGATCAGTGCATTTATTGCTATAAATTGTTCTCTGATCACTGTTTTTGCTGTGTCTCAAAGATTTTGTTATGTTGTGATTTCAGGGAATGGGTTGTCTTTGCTATGTTAATGAGGCAGGATTAGTGGAGTGTCTATTTTGAGTCAATTTCTTGAGATATAAGAGATTAAATGCAAGTTAGCAAGCAGAGACAGAAGAAAAGAGATGCCAAGCCACATGAAGATCTCCCGGGAACAGAAGCTCAAGAGACAAGAAGCTTCCTCCAGAGCTGACAGAGAGAGAAAGCCTTCCCCAAGAGCTGGAACCCTGAGTTCAGACTTC